GTGGTAGCCCTCCCCAAAATGTCATGGCCGTCTGCGACATTAACATGTGTTTCACTTTTATTATGGCTGGTTGGGAGGGCAGCGCACATGACAGTCGAGTTTTTAAATCTGCGACACGGGATCCTAATAGCAACTTTCCACATCCACCTTCAGGTATGCTCGGGATCGAACTCATACGAATTGTTCAATTTATTAGGCAATTTTTATTTAGGATCCCTAAAATAACTTGAATTTTCGTACTAATTGCTCTATTTATTATGTAAGTATTACTTGATTGATGTTGGTTACCCATTGCAATGAGGGTATTTAAAGTCATTTCCTGATACGAGATATCACATACCAGACTTCGCTCGTGCAAGTAACGTCACACGAGGAAGAAAGGAAATGTTTAATAAACGACATTCATCGCTACGTGGTGTAATTGAGAGGACTTTTGGTGTCTGGAAAAAGAAATGGGTGATACTTCGTGATATGCCTCCCTACAATTTTTCGAAACAGGTACAGATTGTCTGTGCTACAATGGCTCTTCATAATTACATAAGAAGACATCATTCCCGTAGCGATATCGACTTTCATTTGGTGGAAGAGGATGAAGAAAATGTGCATTCAGAAGCATTTGAATACCGGCTAGGTCAGTCTTTCACAGAAGAAGAGACCGAGGCTTCTATTGCCTTCACTGTTGATGGGGAAGGTGCAAGCGAGATGGCGGAGCTGAGGGAACGAATTACTGATGAGATAGTAGGCCTATGAATGAAGAATTTGAGATGAATTGTGTGAAGGATTATAATATTATCTCAATTTGATGCATTTCCAATTCCTATCTATTTATATATTTAACACCTCAACTTCAATTTTTACATTTATTCCACCCAAATCTTTCATATCACATAAAAAATTGAAGTGTTGGTGTTAGTTATGTAAATACATAAAAATTGAGTAGTTTGTATGTACATCTTCCAGATTGTATTTACATATTTAGTAGTTGTAAGTCGTTCTAGTCTCTTTAAATAGAGTTTGTTGAAAGCATCCATATCTTGATATACGTCTGACCAAGTTAAGTGTTTTCAGGGTTATGTGGTGTTAATTTTAATTTGGAAAAAATGGAAAACATAAATTTTAATGGTATATTTTGATCGTATGATTTATTTCTTAAATCAATGATATAAACTTATGTTTTGTTCTCAGCTCATTAACTCTTTGGCAGATCAAATTTTCTGGGCAGAAAATTTACAGTTGTACTATCCGGTTGTACACATTGCTTATGACTTGAATATATTGGAGTCATGTATTAATTGCATGTGGTCATTTTTCTTTTCCTTAATCCCTTCCCCAAGCAATCGAGGAGCAACTTCTTTTTGAAAGAGATCCTCATGGCAATGTTGAGGTACTTGGAGCATCGCAGCATTATATGTTTAATGAAAATTTTCTTCATCTTCTTTGTTTCTTCATGACTCCAATAGAAGCATAAGCAAACGATTTGGACAGCATTTTAGCAGGATTTGAATCTGTTGTTTACTGCTAGGAGTTCTTATTCCACATATATTTAGCTCCTACCAAGATTTATGAGGTTTCAGGATGTTCAAACTTGATCTCATATGAAGAATTGGAGCAGCCCTTCGTCTGTTTGGAAATGTGTATTTCACTTTTAAAAAGAGGTAATAGTTCTATTTTATATGATATTAAAGATTTGAGTGTTATGTATGTAAATATGAAACTTTGTGTGAGAAATGCAAAAACATAAGAATTGTGGTTTGTGCGTAAAAACCGAAGTTTAAGTATTAGGTATGTAAATGCATAGAAATCGAGTGAGTATCTATGTAAATCTTCCTGTTTCTTAAATTTATTAAGGAGGCTTTCCAAGTGGATGGAGTCTATCATATTTCACCTTCATCGGCATACATTGCATTAACACTGGATAGGACACATTGGTGTAGTGTTCCTATACCAATTTAATATGTAATGTGACGCAAACAGAATTGGGTGTCAATATGTTTTAATTTTTATGTTTTAAATATGTGTTAAATATGTTTTAAATATGTGTGTGCCAAACTTAAATATGTTTTAAATTTGAAACAACTGGTAAGAGACCAGTTGTTTCAAATTTTGGCTTTCTTTGATTTAGTCTCTGTTTTCAAATGCTGAAAAATGCTTTGAGTAGCTGCAGTCTGCTATTCAATGGCAAGTATTGTTTGTGTTAAATTTTGTTGTAATCAAATCAAAGTTTGTTTGTAATGCTTCAAGAACAAAGTAGTGCAGGTCTTGATTACATGGCATTGTCATTTTTTATCTTTTTGCCTGCAATTTTTTGTGATATCTACTTAGCCCGTGAACCTCTTCATTCTGGGTTCCTTTTGGATTTTCAAACTATTATTTGCTTAATAGTTCCATTGCACTGTCTCACTTTCATTTAATTCCATATGCTTGACTGACTGAAGTGAAATAGTAAGGGATGTTGTTCTGATTTTAGGTGTGAGATACTTAAATAAGAATTGGGTGACGCAAACAGAATAGGGTGGTATAAAGGTATAAAGTGAAGTTTAGGTGTTGTATATGTAAAAACATTGGAATTGGAGTTATATATGTAAGTTTAGGTGTTGTATATGTAAAAACATTGGAATTGGAGGAAGTTTCAATGTTTATTTAGGCCTAATTGTGTTGAGCAGATATTGTGGTAATTGCTCTTCCACGATCTTTTGAATGTATCAATTCCGTGTTCTCCCATTTTATCGGAAAGCTTTCATCTGATCCAAGAGAAGGAAGTGAGACTTAAATGAGAAGGATTTACACATATACACATATTGGTTGCAAATTTTGCAAATCTAACATCTGAACTTTAGTTTCTAC